AAATGGCGCAAGCAACCGTTGGGGCTCTGCGCGCCCCATGCAGCACAGGGAGTGCGGAGCCCAAATGGTTGTTTGGGCTCCACGGTCCCCCGAGTGAGAGGTGGGAGGGGGAGGAGAAGAGAAAGAGAGAGACAGAGAGGGAGGCAGGAGGCGGAGGAGAGCTGAGAGAGGGAGGGGGGGAGGCAGGAAGAGGAGGAGGAGAGAGAGATGGAGCGAGAGACCGGATCTGCGCGCCCCATGCAGCACAGGGAGTGCGGAGCCCAAATGGTTGTTTGGGCTCCACGGTCCCCCGAGTGAGAGGTGGGAGGGGGAGGAGAAGAGAAAGAGAGAGACAGAGAGGGAGGCAGGAGGCGGAGGAGAGCTGAGAGAGGGAGGGGGGGAGGCAGGAAGAGGAGGAGGAGAGAGAGATGGAGCGAGAGACCGGAGGCTCAGGAGAGAAGACCAACGTGGAGAAGAGACCAGAAAATCCCGTCTTATGACGGGCTAATGGGCTAGTTTGAAATACTTGGCTAGCAATTTTAAATAGTTTATTAGTACAGAGTGAGTTTAATAGTGTGAGAGTTATTATTGTTCTTGTTAAATAAAAAAAGTTGAACAGGAACTTTATAGATATTATATTCCTTTTGTTTGGGCTATGGTTAGCTAAGGAAGGACAGAGTCTTCTTTGTCATTGGATATGTAACATGGACAGAGTAACAGTGCTACAATAGTGGGTGGAATAATGAAATAAGACTTTATTAGTTCTGTCTGCAGTGGATATAGCAGTGTTGTGTAGGTTTGCAATGTAATGCAAAGCTAAGATCTGGATAACATATCTGGAAGGGGGCATTGTTAACAAGATTGCACCATCTAGGTTAAATATACCTAGTAACAAGAAATTCTATGAAAGGATTATCTTGCAATAAGATAAACCATTGAGGAGTTTCATGCAGTTTACAAGAGCAAGAACTGTAAAGGCAAACCCTCGAGCTGTGTATAAGGGAAAAGTGTGAAGACCACATGTCGCCAGAGCTGACTGAGAATTAAGGAAGATAAAAGCAATACTGGTGAAAAATATACTGATATCCTAAGAGTTTTACACACAGTTTAGGCACACAAAATGCTTTAACCATACACATTTCACTGAATGCTCATTATATATATGGATATGTCTGCACTGTGGAGCTATCCCGAAATACTGGAAGTATCCTGAAATAGCTATTCTACATCTATTGAAGCAGCCCGTTATTTCAAAAGTTACATCCTGGTAACCCTCGTTCCACGAGGGTTAAGAGGAATTTTGGAATTGCGAGTTATTTTGAAATTCGGCACTGTGTAGGCAGTGCTAAATGACAAAATAAGCTATTTTGAAATAGCATTGAAATAAGCCATGCAATGAGGCCATAAGTTGAGACTAAACATCTGTTCTAAGCCTTACTTTAATCCAGCCAAAGATCAGTTATTAAGCCCACTGTTATATCTCTCACTGGGAACGATCTACAGCTCTGGACTGTTTTCTTCTATATAAAATACCAGCTCGTAATTTCAAGATTGGCAGCAGAACTGGAGTTGTGGCTTTCCCAGACAAACAGTAGCGTAGGTACCTCAGTTCAGGCTTTTCTTCCCTGTCTTGCCAATGTGCTTTACCACATGAGACACTCACCATATATGTAAGGTGTTCCGTCTCTGCTTCATTCACTCCTTGTCCTGGATGCTGAGGGTATGTCTACACTACGAGAGAGGTTGAATTTATTAAGGTTGAATTTTAGCACCCAGTATTGTATAGTTGAAGGTGAGAAATACCTGTGTATTCACTGTGCATATGAAGTCAATGGAGTGCATCTCCAATAGCACGACTACTTTCAACTTTGACAGTGATGCACCATGGGTAGCTGTCTCACAGTTCCTGTCGCCCCTTTGGATTCTGGGTTAAGCTGCTAGTACCTGATGAAATAAAAACATTGCATGCCGTCTACCCACATCCCCAAGGTCCTGCCCTGAAGGACCCAGGGATCTGTTAGTTGTTTATAAAATCGACCTGATGTGGCTGAGTTCAACAATGGTTGTTTTAGATGATATTACAGTGGCACAGAACTGGAATAATACAGCAGTGCACCAGGTACAGCCTGTAGAAGCAAGCTTCCTGGTCAACAGCATCAGGCTAGCAGGGCTTAGTGAACGATCTAGAAATGTGAGTGTAGACAGCAATTAGAAGTTGTGGAATGGGCTGGAACAATAGACTCAGAAGCCCCTCCAGCTCAAGCTGCAAATTTAAAGCACAGTCTACATTTTAGACTGGTAGCAGAAATGCTGCTAGTCCAAGCCTGATAACATGGGATGGAAAGCTTAGTCCCACAGGCAGTGTAGACATACTCATTGTCTCTTACTGTTTACTTGGGACAGATTAGATGCATTAGCTATGGTTTGCAAAGACATTTGTGCACAGCATAAATAACTTTTATCACACTACGTCTTGCTCATTCATATGCTTTGAAAGCTGTATTGTCGTGTGCGTGTTTGTGTGTACCTGCATTCTTAATGAGTTATATTTGTTCCCAATTCATTTTTCCCAACCCCCACTTTTTATTATTTTAGACATATTAACATTGGAAACCGGTTTCAGGCAGAGATACCAAACCTCCAGGATAGAGCACTTTTAGAAAATGATGAACATGCAGCATCGTTAGTGTGGAAACCTTGGGGAGACATCACAACCAACCAGGAAACACAGGACAGAGGTGTCTTAAAAGTTTTATCTCAAGACTACCCCAAGATTTTATGATTGGAAATGATTTTGATGTAATTGCAACTTTGTTTTTTTTTCATTGTCTCCCTCATTAACTACATTGTGCTGTGGAAAATGTTAATTTTTTTGACCTTCTTTTCAACACAATTGTATTACAGACTAGTGATATGCTTAGTTTTGGTAGAGCTGGAGCAAACAAATTAGACAGCCATAGGGCTTTCACTCGCTTCTCTCCATTACAGAAAGTCATGAACATCTCTGTTAGTCCCAATTCATCTACAGTGACTTTGAAAGAGGAGATGTTTTGCTAAAGTCCACTGATTTAGCAGAGACAAAGCCATGTTTAAAACAGAGATACGACATTTTGCCATTCTTTTAGTGTTTTATTGGTGGCCCATCTGAGTGTTGCAATTGTTCTTTTCTGTTAATATTCTCATGCATGTTTCCTATTTCCATCTCGGAATTTGACTCTGCTTTCGGACTGTGGCTGCAGTAACAGGACTATTAAACGTGGCCTGCTCCAGTGCGATGCCCGGGGGAGGGACCAATCTAGAACTAGCCCTGCATTGTCTGCATGAAGCACAAGGCAATATTCTGGTAAGGTAGCTATTGAGTTGTCGGTAATAATTGACCAAGTTCAGCTGGTGTGAATTTGAAGTAATTCCTTTAGGTTCTGATTTACACATCTTGCAACTAAGAGTAGAATTTGCCTCAGCATTTCTAAACTTAAATGCAGCCTTCTGAATCCTATTGTCACTATCTGAATCTCCGTATCTTAAAATTATTGACTACTACTTGTGATGCTGCCATATTTCATAGGCCATCAAGAAAGATTTATCATTATTTCCATTGGAGATGTCGGTGGATGCAGGATCAGCCACACACCCCCATTGCTATTCCACTTTAGCTTATTGAATACTGCTTTGGGTTTTCACTGTCGTTCAGCCAACGATTCATTTCTGTTCTTTTCTATGTTCCTGATTCAGCAACACAAATCTATTCAAATAAAAACATGAATGTGTTTAATATTATACTTAAGTTCTATTGAAGTCAATGGGATTATATTTCATAGAAACATAGAACACTAGAACTGGAAGGAATCTTGAGAGATCATCAAGTCCAGTCCCCTGCCCTCACGGCAGGACCAATCACCGTCTACATCATCCCTGATGATTTTCTATCCAATCTGCTCTTAAATATATCCAGAGATGGAGATTCTACAACTTCTCTAGGCAATTTATTCCAGTGTTTAACCACCCTGACAGGAAGTTTTTCCTAATGTGCAACCTAAACTTCTCTTGCTGCAGTTTAAGCCCATTGCGTCTTCTCCTGTCTCCAGAGGCCAAGGAGAACAATTTTTCTCCCTCCTCCCTGTGACACCGTTTTAGATACCTGAAAACTGCTAACCTGAAAACTGCTAACCTCTCAGTCTTCTCCTTTCCAATGTTCTTTTCTGAACAGGGATGGATTTATACATGAGTTTAAATACACAGGTTAGAGCAGCCTTTTGGCTTTCACTAAGTCTTTGGGCTTCCAGGAACAGTGGCTCCTATAGAACACTATGGCCACACCCTCCGTCCTGCAACGTGCCCCCAGATGTCCCATGGTGCGTCTTTTCTGCCGGAGATTCCTGAGGGGGAGTAGTCTGCCTTAGTGCCAGGCAGAGAAGACTCCTCATCCTGGGATGTCCCTAGCTGGGTGTGGTCTTAAGTTGCAGTAGAGCTGCTTTTCACTAGCATAGATGGCACAAAATGATGGAAGCACAGAACCCCTCCTAACATGGCAGCACACTGCTTCTTTCTCCACAAGATGTTTGTGCAATATGTTTTTTTCTTCAGTCACTTGAGGCATGAATTAAAGCCATTAAAAACAGTGGAAAAACTCCCATGGGCTTCAGTGGGTTTTGGATTAGCCCCCTAGAGAGTGTAATTTTACATGAACATAGCCAGTGATGCTGGCATGAATCAGTAAAGTCAGCGGATTTACATCAGCATAGCTGAGAACAAAACTCATCTCCCTGCTTCACTGTTGAGGGCTCTGATTATATTCTGGATTAAATTGTTGCAGGAGGCCCTAGAGATGCTGCTGTTCAGAGGACCTCAGAAAGTTCCATCCCACCCTCTTGCTAATTATCATTATACAGGTAAATTAAAAACAAAATCTGTACAATGGGATCAGTGAACTGGGGTACTAATAGTCATGCAATAATTTGATAACGCTGTGGTTTGCCTTTAATTCTGCTTTAAAACTACATGCATTTAAAAATGCAAACAAAAGATTCTTGCCCTGAAGTGCTACAAAATGTGATCACCTCTTCAATTTTAACCTTGTTTATACTGTTTTCTTATGTTCAGCTCCTTAGTTCTCCTGTGACAGCATGACGTTTTAGCATGCACTGCCCTGCAGTGACACCCAATGGGAAAAGTATGCTGAAACATGGCAATGATCGATGCTTACTATCGTGTGGTATTCTTTTCAGTGGTGCATATATTTTATAGTATGTGGTATTTCCTGTGTCACTAGTAATTGGAGTTTTTCAGACATTTATAACATATTACTGATTGCTGTTTTTGATAGACTGGAATTAAGTTTCCCTGAGAGAGAAAAATGTGTACATGAATAATCAAGTGTTTTAATTTTGTGTTATGGTCCATTAAGCATGCAATGTGATCTAATAATTTGCATCTTATTACCACTAGGTTCAGATGTTTGGACACCTGTTGAGAAACAGTTGTTTAAAAAAGCTTTTTGTCTGCATAAAAAAGATTTTTACCTGATACAGAAGAAGGTAAGACCTCTAGGCAGAGGTTATTTTTTTTTTCAGATTACTAAAACGCCTTCATGGATTAATTAAAACA